CGCCGAATCGAGTAGCACCACTGGCATGTGCTCCCGTAATCGGATTAGGGTCAAGGAACCTATGATTGATCAGCTCATATCATTTCTTATTGCACCGATACTAACCTTCCCAAGAGGTCGATAGGGCTCCACACTGCCTCCCCATAAATCACGGTCGAACTACTTGACACAATAATCCCCAAAAAGCTGACCATGCTGAAACCAATAGGTACACTGAGAATCTGGGGCCATACTGCAGCGGAAGGAGTTGTTGCACGAGATGCAAAGTCGGGGGCATTGACGACAAGCGTGGCCATGTTGGAGATGCACGACATGAGTGAGACGACCATTGTCCAGGCTAATTCCGACCCATGTACTTTGGCAGGTTGATGAACAATTGGGCCAACACCTTTGGCTTTGACGATGGACCAGATGAAGAAGATGATACCCGCAATTGGGACGCAGATAGCTTTGGCCGTGAACAGGTGCCGACTAAAGATATGTTAGCTTAGAATACTGAGAGGTAAGGAGGGCGTACATCTTATGAATAGGGAACCAGATGGCAGGAAGGGAGATGAACCAAAAGAGGAAGAAACACATGAAATCCTTGGTGTCAATACCAGCACTCGCAGGTAGCCCATTTGCTATACCGCTGTCACTTGGAGGAAAGAGGAGAACGAGATAACTCACGAATCCTTTCAATGCTGGGCCAGATGCAGCGGAGCATGACCTTGACACAACTTCCTCCAATACTCGCCTGGACACCGTACCAGATACACGCCATGGCACCTCGATTGAACGTGCACCACAAGCTACCCCAGATTCCAAAGCTAGTACGTGCGACAACGGGGAACGTAATGTGGTGAATTGCACCAGGGCGGGCATTGAGGACGATGAAAGGTGCAACAAAGCCGTATCCAATCCACACACAGATCCAGGCTTGCCACCAGGCGAGACCCGAACCAACCATAGAAGAGACGATCATCCATGTATTGATGTTGAAACAGTCTGCCACCCAGCTATACGGCGAAGTACTCGTGAGTAACCAGTTACGTCACAGGAATGAGAAGCGTACAAGGCGATAAAGTTCCAATGCTTCCATGTACGATTCTCCGGGGGTACAGGACGCAAGTCGTCGTTCTAACAGAGTGTGAGTGGGAGATAGACGACCCCCAAAAATGTTTACTCACGTTCAAAAACAATTCAGTGTTGGACAACCCTGGGGGATGGTCCACTTCAAGCTTGTGGATGATTCGCTTGACGAGGGACATTTTGACCACTCGTTGAATGATTTATCGTAACGGGCTACAGGGGATGGAGGAGGGAGAAAAGGAAGAGGGAGGAGATCGATTCGAGAAGACCGATGGAGGGTTCTGATCTGTGGGGTGTGTCTTTATATCCATCCTTCACAGCGGGTGCTTTCTCCCTCTTGCATTGTTTCGACGAGTGCGAATAGATAAGATTCGAGAAGGGTAGGAGGGAGGAGAGACACAACCCCGCCCATTGAATACGATGCGGACTACTCCGTTTGGTCATATTTATGCCCAACTGATAACGAAGAACCTTGAAATTCAGGGGTGGTATTGATAGAAGACAATAACGTAAAGAGGCCCAATGGCCACCATCAGATTGGATGGGGGCAGAAGCAACGTCAAGCGACTGGCCAAGATAAGCCCGTGGCGTATTCAGTCCCTTGGCCGTATCGCCAACCTCAATGCCGAACGCTGGACATGAAAACAACGAGATTTACGGATTGATTTCAAAAGCTGAGTTGAAAAGAGATCACACCGCACGATGCCGGGCGGTCGAGTGCAACAGAGATTGGTATCGCAGTGAGTTGGGAGGTCACTGTGTGCTCCTTGAGTCGGCTAGACGAGCAGAGAGCTACTACAGAACATTGAAAGAAAGGACTGCTGTAATAATATCAGACATTCTGGTACGCGAGAGTGTGGTAAAAAAAAGTTGCTCACGCGACTGGAATCCAATCAGCAGGCCCTACTCCTCATGCCGCTTAGTCTGCGACTGTCTTCTGGGTCAAGTAGCTAGAGCTACGCGAAATGGACCGGTGATTTGGACGAAATCCCTCCGACTGGTTGGCTTGCTCGATATCATTTGTTCGCAGTCGTCCCTGGTTCCATAGCCACCCCATTCGAATGTCGCTAACGAGAACGTGGGGAATGAGAAGGTTAATCGTTGATAGATATCGAGGTAGAAAAGGCTAAAGCGAAGGACGTCGTTGGGGTTGAGAGAGAACGAACGGGACAACACGGGACTCCGTATAACCCATTACGCATCTGTCGGTCGGAGATAAACTCTTCCTGCGTTATCAGTTGACAGGCGAATCACTTTTCGTTCAGATAAGCACTGCATTCTCGGAACGGGAGGGGGTAGGATTGGGTTTAATGGTAGAATTTTGTAGTGATGGTGCATCATGATATTCATTCCACTACTCATGTATAGATGAAAATGTTACATTGTCAATCCTAAAAGTGTAATCGGCTCGCCAGCTTGCTGAGTTCCTTGCATCTCGTCACTTCGGCCGCATTTACAATCTCAACCTTGCTTCCGCTCACATATCTTTCAACTCCCTCAGCGAGCTCAACAGTTTCACCTTGTTTGAGGACCATGCGTCGACCGAGGTACTTGGCATTGTCCCACATTGGCCATTTGGGCGAATCTGGGAGCGCGTACGTATTCGGGTCGCCGGAACGGACGAACGAGAGCCAATAGGCGATAAGCTCTTTGGCAAACGACTTTTGAGAGGCGGTGGTAAACGGTGTCAATGCGAAACTGCCATTGTTTCTGCACAATGTGTTAGAAAAAGGAGAGAAAGATGGATACAGGTACGTACCCTGTATTGCTGCCTTGATGCATCCACCAGTTCTCAGCTGAATGGTGTACTTTGCCTTCATCGCCTTCTCGTCGGGTGGTTGGGTTCGGCTCGTCAAATCGATAGGAGTAGGAAGGCTGGCCAGCCTTGGTCTCAACCGATAGCAAGGTCTCTCTCTATGCATTACCACCATATGAGCAAAGTAATCCAGATTGGTAAGTAGAAGGATCACTGACTCCACAGCGCAGCAAAGGCTCTCCTAGGGCTGCGCTAACCCGCTCCAGTTCGTTTCGGAACGGGCCTCCCTTATACACCTTAGCGATCTTTTCCACATCCTCATCCCGCAAGTTTGGATACCAATGCCGTAATTCCTCTCCTATAAGCACCATCAGTACGGTCCTTAACATGATGTTACCCAACCACTCACCCAAATCCTCGGTGGACGTGAAGCTTTCGTCGGTAGTCGCACCCACCAACACCGGCACATGACTGATCTTGTCGCGGACTGTCAGTTGCGTTGGAGTGTCCTTGAAAATGTGTCCATCCACTACAGGCAAGAAGCGCCATGTCTTGTCAGTGTATTGAGTCGCTTCAGCCGCACGCATAATGGTCGCCACATCTTTACTTCTCAAACACTCGACACGGTCTACAGAATCACTGTCAGATCCCCCACATCCGGCTTCAGCGGCCACAAAGTCAAAGAGTTCCTATCCAGCATGAGTATCAGGACGTGATTGGGATAGGAGAGACGTACTTTGGTTTCGGCGGGTCGCCTGAACCCAGGTCGATATATGCTGTGCGCAATTGCTTGGTGGAACAATTGCTGCTTGCCTTCATAGGCGAGGAGGTGAAGTAGGACCGACGCACCACCTGCGCTCTGCCCGTCGATCGTAATCTGGTTCGGGTCTCCTCCAAACGACTCAATGTTCTAGAAAGCAGAAAAAAAAGTCAGAAAACCGACTAATCACCAGTCAAGTGGCTTGGATGCACCTTCTTGACCCACTTTAGGGCTTCGACTTGGTCCAAGAAACCAGCATTGAAATCGAGTCCGTGTCCATCAGGAGTGGAGAGGAATCCGAATACCGCGAGACGATAGTAGATGGACACGATCACTACATCCGGAAACTGCTCGACCCAATGTTCGAATGGCCAGCTCAGCGGGTTGCCATAAATGAATCCACCCCCATGGATATATACGAGTACAGGTAATTTGGAAGGGTACCCGTCAGTTGAAGCAGAGGCCAGGGCAGAGGTAGGAGTGTAGATGTTCAGGTGCAAGCAGTCTTCCGAGCCCGCCCCACCTTGTGTTTCTAATGTAATATAAAGATTTAATGATGATGAACTTAAAACCAATTACTAACTTACTCGAATATGCCGGTCCCTGTATGCAAAAGTCGGGTTTCTTGAGTGCTTTGACCGTTTTCTTCTTGCCTCCATTCTTCTGTAGCTCCTCTTCCCCATCAATAGGAACAGGCGCCCTAAATCTCCTTTCGCCGACCGGCGGATGCGCATACGGGATGCCGTAGAAAACCGTCCCAACCCCAGATTCGCTCTTCACACCATGGTAGACGGCATGATTTGTCTCCACTTGTACTGTTACAATCGAGAAATAAGTGTTATAGATGATAAAAGAGATAGGGATAATCTAAACGCCATCATGAACCGCGTCATCGGAGGAGTAGAGCGCCGTGTTAGTCGAATGTTGTGAACACCACCTATAGAAGGAGACGACACGTACTGCGAGAGAGAACAGAATGTTTCTCGTCGACATTATTGTTTTTGTATTTTTTAACGCAGATTCTGCGCACGGTTCACTACTTTGTCCGATATGGGAAGGGCCGAACTAGTGTCAATACAGTTGCGTGGGGCGATTCGAGGCAAACTTTTTCGATCCAATACAATTCTTCCCAACCACCTTCGAGACCGTTACCCACAATCTTGAC